GTGGGGGAGCCGGTTGGTACCGGCTGTGTTGTTCTGACAGTGGAATAAGGGGGGTGGAAGCTGGAGTTCACCAAAAGGACAAGGTGAAGAAGAGGAGAGGATGAAGTAAACGACCCCCGAAGACCACCTACTCAAATCACTGAGCATGCGCAGTTGGGAGGGACTTATGGAAACGACCTCTTGAAACTAATTTTAATACGAAGCGGGGACAGGTTATGCCTATGTATAGGCGTATTGGGAAACTTCACGTATATGTAACACTTTGCTACATGTAAACGGGGCAAGCTGCCGCGTTGCGGCGCGCACGACTTTGGTGGGACTACCCCCCGTGCTGCCCAGCGCTGAACAAACATACCTACTTTACAATCTTGCAGATTGCGGAGTCCGTTCTCCGCACGTCAGAGACCATGGTGAGGACCATGGTGAGGCAGGTTGTGCCCCGTGGAGGTTCAGGGTGGAGCGAGAAGTGAGCTGGGGGAAGGTGCACCAAGGAGGGGCGGGGGTGAGCTGACCCTCTTTCCCATGAGTTGGCGGGCAGTCAGTTCCTGAAATGCCGGAGGCGGGAACTGACTCATGAGAGAGGAGCTTGCAAAAGGCAGGAGGGAGTCCCTCAGGAGGAACTGCCTCATGAGAGAGGAGCTTGCAAAAGGCGGGAGGGAGTCCCTCAGGAGGAACTGCCTCATGAGAGAGGAGCTTGCAAAAGGCGGGAGGGAGTCCCTCAGGAGGAACTGCCTCATGAGAGAGGAGCTTGCAAAAGGCGGGAGGGAGTCCCTCAGGAGGAACTGCCTCATGAGAGAGGAGCTTGCAAAAGGCGGGAGGGAGTCCCTCAGGAGGAACTGCCTCATGAGAGAGGAGCTTGCAAAAGGCGGGAGGGAGTCCCTCAGGAGGAACTGCCTCATGAGAGAGGAGCTTGCAAAAGGCGGGAGGGAGTCCCTCAGGAGGAACTGCCTCATGAGAGAGGAGCTTGCAAAAGGCGGGAGGGAGTCCCTCAGGAGGAACTGCCTCATGAGAGAGGAGCTTGCAAAAGGCGGGAGGGAGTCCCTCAGGAGGAACTGCCTCATGAGAGAGGAGCTTGCAAAAGGCGGGAGGGAGTCCCTCAGGAGGAACTGCCTCATGAGAGAGGAGCTTGCAAAAGGCGGGAGGGAGTCCCTCAGGAGGAACTGCCTCATGAGAGAGGAGCTTGCAAAAGGCGGGAGGGAGTCCCTCAGGAGGAACTGCCTCATGAGAGAGGAGCTTGCAAAAGGCGGGAGGGAGTCCCTCAGGAGGAACTGCCTCATGAGAGAGGAGCTTGCAAAAGGCGGGAGGGAGTCCCTCAGGAGGAACTGCCTCATGAGAGAGGAGCTTGCAAAAGGCGGGAGGGAGTCCCTCAGGAGGAACTGCCTCATGAGAGAGGAGCTTGCAAAAGGCGGGAGGGAGTCCCTCAGGAGGAACTGCCTCATGAGAGAGGAGCTTGCAAAAGGCGGGAGGGAGTCCCTCAGGAGGAACTGCCTCATGAGAGAGGAGCTTGCAAAAGGCGGGAGGGAGTCCCTCAGGAGGAACTGCCTCATGAGAGAGGAGCTTGCAAAAGGCGGGAGGGAGTCCCTCAGGAGGAACTGCCTCATGAGAGAGGAGCTTGCAAAAGGCGGGAGGGAGTCCCTCAGGAGGAACTGCCTCATGAGAGAGGAGCTTGCAAAAGGCGGGAGGGAGTCCCTCAGGAGGAACTGCCTCATGAGAGAGGAGCTTGCAAAAGGCGGGAGGGAGTCCCTCAGGAGGAACTGCCTCATGAGAGAGGAGCTTGCAAAAGGCGGGAGGGAGTCGGTGGAGGGGCAGCCGCCGCCCCGCGCGGCCGCAGGGTCCTAGCGGGTTTTCGGAGGGGTGTTAAAGTCGGCGGTGGAAGGCAGCTATGTGCCGCTCAGTGCGAAAGCGTCGTTAGTGGCTTTTGAGTGCGCCCCTCCAGAAACCACCGTGCTGCAAAAATCTTCCCTGACGTGATTCTGCTCCAAGGGGTTTTGAAACTCCTCCTTCATTAACAGAACACCGCTACGTATTTTCATGGAAAAGCCTCCGCCCTGCTGTGTGGTTTGTGCCTCCTGACTTATCAGCCGGGAAGTGCCGAGAGGTGGTGTGGATAGGAAAACCGGGCTTTACCTGAGCGGGCTGTGCCGTGCTTTGACTGCTTTTGAGCCGGGTTTGAGTGGTGGGCGGTTTTAAGGGGGAGCTCTGCTGGTGGCGGTGGCAGTGGGGGACCCTGGTGTGGCAACGAGGAGGAAGGGTTGGAGGCACGGCCGGCAGGGTGCCCAGTGGAGGTGGATGGGATGGGGGCTAAGGCACAGGTGATGGGAAAGGGGCACCCGTTTCCTTAAACATGGCAAATAGTTACCAAATGGCGGATGCTACATTTGATGTTTAGAAAAGTCTTTCCAACTGCTGAATTGCAAGGAGATTTGAAACAATCTCCCAGGAAAGGCAGAGGGACCAAAAACCACAAATAAAACTTGATCATGCTTTGAAAAGGTCTGAAAAAGTCTCCTGTGCGCTGAGCGGCAGTCCTTAGCTAATCTTCCTTTCCTATAACAAGTGATGTATCAGTTGCTATGTTTCCTCCTGTGCAATTTAAAGCCCTCCTCTTCCAGATGCATCCAGTCCTAAAGGCTTTTGTGTGTGGCTCCATCAGTGGGACTTGCTCCACGCTCCTCTTCCAACCCCTTGACCTGCTGAAAACCCGCCTGCAAACTCTGCAGCCTGCTGTGAATGGGTGAGAGGGTGGGGATGTGTATGCGGGGAGTGGGGTGGGTGAGGGTGCTCCACCATAGGCTTCTGCTTGATTTGCTGGCTGGGGCTTGGGAATTCAGGGTTGTAATTCAGATACTGAGAGTCTTTCTGAAACAGGAGGCATGTTTTTATAGCTTGGAGAAGAATTGGTATTTTGATCCAGAAGAGAGAAAGTGAATGCTACTTTAATAATAGGTATCCAGAGCATTTGTATGCGTGCATCTGAGAGACTGATGTTTGCTGGAGTGGCCACCATGGAGTTTTGCAGGGTGTCCTCTGCCTGAAAAATTGTGTGTGGTTGCCACATAACCTGTCCACATGTGCGGCTGCTCCCATTTGCCCAGTGTAGTCAACTATGACTACCTCTGCTGCTACCAAAGGGAGTGAGCAACCAGAGACACTAATGAGAGAGGCCTCTAATGTGTGTTACAAGTGGTGGGAAAGCAGAAGGTGACAGAGTGGAACAAGTGGCTGAGCGAAGCAGGCCGAGTCTAGAAGGATCGCCTCCAAGGCGCTGGGGTAATGCATAGAGCGAGAGGGGGTGGCTGCAGAGTACATTTGCCAGAGAGCATAAGCAGGTCGTCTCTGCAGTTCCTGTCTTGTCTTCCTTTCAGGTCCGGTCGTGCTGGGATGGTAACACTGCTCTTTAGGGTTGTTCGTACTGAGAGTCTTCTGGGGCTCTGGAAAGGTGTCTCTCCAGTAAGTGGCTGTTTTAACCCTGACTTCTAAAACAAATACATAAATAAACCTACTGTTTATTACTAACTATGGACTGGATTTAAATAGCCAGCTCTTGTATAATTATGAATGAAACCATGTGATTTAGATGGTAAAAACCTATTTTCAGGAGTTAATGTTGTGAATTCCACTGATTAGGTCGTAGCAGTTGCTGTGGATTTGCAGTCCTGAGCAGCTGAATACTTGAATACCATCGCAAATGTGGGGTGGCAACTGCACCAACCTCATTTTGTTTTGAAATATCTTGTTCCTAGAAAACTGTGGTTGAGGAATGCGTTAAATCCTGGCATCATTTGAACCAGTTGGCTCTCAGTTCTGTAAATGACTTCTACCTTGTCTTCTCAGCATGTTAGCTGAGGAAAAATCACTAAAGTGATTTTTTGTTTTGTTTTGGTGCAAAGCTTCCTGTGAAGCTTAACAGTCTGTGGAATGTTCTGTAGTACATTTTGTCTTATGTGTGCCTTTGCTTTCTTTGTCTGCTTCTGTTTCTCCTGAAGTCCTTTGCAAGATGTATTCCTGGTGTTGGGATCTACTTCAGCACTTTGTACATGATGAAGCAAAAGTTTCTAGTAGACCGTTCACCCACAGCCCTGGAGTCTGTCTTTCTGGGTGCCACCGCACGTGCAGTATCTGGGATTTGCATGTTGCCAGTGACTGTAGTGAAGACTCGATATGAGGTGAGTGTGACTTTCTAATTAATTCCCTGTTGATGATGTCACACCCCTTCCTCATGATGAAAAAGAAATTCTTCTGTCTGGAGAAGGTTTCTGCCACTTGAGTACAGTCAGGGATGTAATGCTGATTTCATCCTGGTTCACACATTGTGCAGGAAAAGCCACGCACTAGTTTTTAGGTGAGAAACATAAGTTGAAACACAATTCACGCCGAGATTTTTAACTTCCAGTTGTATACAATGTGTAATTTTAGCTTCTTTCTTATCTTACCTTCTGGAAGGATTGTTTCAAACGCTGAGATAGGCAGAACCCAATTTTTGTCTTGATCTCAGACATTGCATGGAGCGCGTACCAACACTTGTTTGGACAGGGTGGCCTTGGGGTGTGTGTAGTGCTCCTTTGCCTGTGCCTGGTACAGGGATGACTGACTGTTGTCTTCCATGGCAGAGTGGAAGCTTTGGCTATGGGAGTGTATATGGAGCTCTGAAAAGTATCTATCAGACGGAAGGGGCTCGTGGCATGTTCAGCGGGCTCACCGCAACGCTGCTGCGGGATGCACCCTTCTCTGGGATCTACCTGATGTTCTACACACAGACCAAAAACTTCACACCTCAGGGTAAGGCTGTAGTGAGAGATGTTCCTTTTCTCACTTCTTGCCTGCGTGCTCTGCTTATTGCCCTCTACCTCAGTAGTTAAATTAGTGTCTTGTAGGGCTTTAGGTGGGAAAGTCACTTTTTCCTGTGGACAATGTCAGACCTATAGTGCAGGTCAGTGTGGGGATGGAAATCGGCTCTAAACTGATTGATTGTCTTTATGAAGACTGATGCATAAGGTGGGTTAGTGAACAGTTGAAAGAGAAGATGTGTTTAGCCATCCTTTCTGCTGGTGGCTGTCTTCTGTACTGATCAGTTTCCACTAACTCAGCATTTCTCTGATGTTAGACCTGGCTGGGGCAACACTTGTACAATCTTTCATTCTCTGGGTTCTTGTCAAATTCAGTTCCCCAGTAAGTGAGGCTTTTTAATAGTGCTAACTTTTGACTTTTAGCCGCTTCTCCCCTTGGAAGGTTTCTCTACCCTGCATGGATTTTAACTTCTCTTAGACCTCAAGGTTGACTTAATCATTCAGTAGCTTTTCATTTGTTATGCAGCATGAGTATACCTGGTCTCTTTTGTGTCTGAGTGCATTCCCCTTGCTCTGTTGCAGACCGGCTGGATCCAGTGCTCCTGCCCTTGCTCAATTTTGGCTGTGGGATCTTTGCAGGAATCTTGGCCTCGCTGGCAACACAGCCTGCTGATGTCATCAAAACACACATGCAGCTGTCCCCCCAAAAGTACCGTAGGACAAGCCAGGCCATTGTCTTCATATACAAGGTGAGGCGAATCCTCTCTAATATGTGCAATCACAGGCCTCACTTCTGATCTCCTCACCTGAAGCACAGCTGTGATAAGGAAGTTGTTTTCTTTTAAAGTGAACAACCGTGACTGCTTGATGTGCTCTTGCAGTCAGGCTAACCAGTGTCTCATTTTCAGAAGCTGAGGTGAGTCATGCTGTGGGAGACTGAGGCTGAATCTCTTGTCACTGATTTATGTGTGGACTTGTTCAGTAATAACAGGAAAGTACTCTGGTTGATGGTCTGAAAGCAGTCAGAGGCTTCAGTCCGTTCCTCGCTTTTCCTTGCAATTAGAGAGGCTGTTGTCACTGCTCAGATGTGCTTCTTGCTCCTCTTGAATGGATTGCAAGGCAATGAACTTGCTATGCGATTATTCCTGCCATTCCTCAATCCTGTATCTGTTCTCACAAAATTACAGATGACGGGGAGTTGGAGAGCAAGCTCAGAGTAGTGGAGCACAAAGCTGGGTGTATTGCAGCAAGTGTATCTCCACGCAGGCCTGCTTCGTGTTTCAGGCTGGTGAATGATTTCACTTCAGTTCTGTCTGTTATGTATTGATTCTTACACTGGTAGTGATGGAAGGTGCTTATTTCATCTTAACTTCATTTCAGCTTAGCTTAGTATGTAGGTTTGGAGGAGCCATACTTAGAGCTGCTGCTGCCTGCGGTTTATCAGTGTAGGCATGTCTGTGATTATCACACTGGGGCAAAGGGTTTCTTTAGTATGTAGTGTGAAATGCCGGCTTCAGATAAAGACAGCTACCAAACGATTCCTTGCTGTTTGGACACTAAAAGAGAAATAAATGCCCAGGTCTGTGTCCCAGGAATGGGATAGAGATGTCCTCAAAGCCACCTGCCTTCAGAAGGGCAGATCTTGGCCGGCTTGCTTTGTTTCCATATTGAACTCTATTCCTAAAAAGGAATCTTTTTATTTGTGCATGGATTTTTTTTGTGCATGGTACACTTTTCTCACATCAGAATGTTTTTTTACTTCAGTACTTACAAATCTCACTTTTTACAGAATAGCCAAGTGACTTCTGTAAATATGAAGCTCTTAAAACAAGGGCAAGTAATTTTCCTGAAGTGTCTTGAATCTGTTACACCCTTGCCTTCTCTTTGTTGGGCTTGAGTGTGGCTGTCCCCACCCATTGTCCCCACCCATTGTCCCCACCCATTGTCCCCACCCAGGCATTCCCTTCTCCACTTACTGCTCTTCTTGCTTTCTTGGGTAGCCATGCAATTGCACAGTGCTACAGGTTCTTCCTAAACTTTAAATGCTATTTAAGCCTGGGTCTTTCAGAAGGTGATCTGGGTCTGAGCTGAAATATATCCTGTGTTGTTCAGTGTAATAAACAATGAGAAATTAAAACAGTAGAGGCAGATTATGATGGATTGCTGTTTGTTTGTCTCATGTTGCAGGACTTTGGGTTGGTTGGCTTTTTCCGAGGTGGTGTGCCCCGTGCCCTCAGGCGGACTCTGATGGCAGCAATGGCATGGACGGTGTATGAACAGATGATGGAAAAAATGGGCTTGAAATCTTGACTGACTTGCACAAGAAATGGCCAGCTTCGCTCCTCCTCCTGCTTGCTGTGATCAACTGGCACTAGGAAGTTCCCAGTTCCGCAGAGGAATAAGCCTTGCTCAGCCAGGAGGAAGAAAGCCCTTCTGAGACATGGGATTAGGCCTTTGGCGAGTAGAGGAAAGAAGGATCAGATCTTTGCGTCATTTGATCAACGCATTCCAGAAGAACAGCACTTGCAGACTGCCCTGGGAAATGGCAGGGTTTCCACGTCCTGGTAACTATGCTGAGAGAAAAGCCCCCTTTTAAAATAGCTCTGTGCTCACCACCTTTATGCAGTGAGGCATTGCTGAGCAAAATTGTTTGAGGAGAAAACAGTGATTGCAGAACCTGCCAGCTTGTTCCTTGCCGGTCTGGCCGGTAAGGCCACAATGACCTACTGTCTGATGTGGATCTTCCTTCCACACGTGCTTTCTTCTGGCAGGGGAGCATTGCAGACCATGGTGGGAGGCTGGATGTGTCTCAATGCTTGTATCGTAGGAGCGGGCGGAAGAGAAGCAAACTGCTCAAGGAGAGCTAGGGATGCGGTCTCTGTCATCACTTTTGCACTGTGCATGATAGCAGAGAAGGTAACTGGAACCTCCTTGCTGTGTCGTGTTACTATGTAATTGAGCATCTTAACACTTGGGAAATGTGCTTTGGCCTCTACAGCAGTGTTTGCACAGGTATTAAGAAGCATAAGGCACTTTAGAGTTGATCGCTACCAAAGTTCTACTTGTTCTCTGAAAAACATTTTCCTGCTGGTCTGACAGTGTCAGGAACACTCTGGTATTATTATTATTATTATTATTATTATTATTATTTTTATCCAGTTGTACTAGAGAATTATTTGCTTCCTATTATTCATTTGTTAACCCTGGATCAACACCCTCAGCATGAGCTGGTCCTTAGATGTAGCTTTTAGGGTCATAGCTCATAATGCATAAATGGATAATGGAAGCAGATGTAGATACCGGCACTCTGTATTTCCCTTAAAAGCTGCTGATGATTGCATGTGGAGTATCTTTGGGTTTTCTCTTTTCTATAAGCTTTCTCCAAAGCTTGAGACCTGTGAGTGTTTGGTAGGGAACTTTAATTCTCTGGCTCCACACAGACCCTTCACAGTTTCTCAGCTGATTATTTTCTCTTAGCAGGTAGTCCATATTTCAGTATTCCTGAGTTTAGGCTTAGAGATAAATACACTTTTTTCATCCACTGTGCCTTCTTCCTCATTCCGACTTTGTTACAAAGACCTCATAGTGTGTGCTGTCCAAACCTGGGTACAGCCTGCTCCCCTCTCACTTGTGCCTCTGTGCTGGCTGGCTGCATTGGGACTCTTGCAGCTCTGTTGGCGATGCTGCAAAGCCGGGCATAGAAGCGTGCGTCCTGCTCTGTAGTGTGCCTCACGGAAAACATAGCTTTGGCTTTTATTTTCTTAAATATCTAGGGATATTACAATTCACTTTAGAAACAGAGCAGGTGTCTCTAAATATGAAGATGTGACACTGTAGCTGTATGAAAAACTGGTACAACCCACCTGTTGTTTGTAAATTATAGAGTGTAACTTGCACAATCACTGCCTGCCCTGGCAAGGTCAGTAGAGGGGACGTGGGTTGTAAAAGATGTTCTTTACCAGATTCCAGCTCCAAGAAGGTTTGATGACTGATATGAAAGCTAAGTCTGAGTGAAGCGTAAGGGGACAGGCTGGAGGTGTGGAAGGTGCTGCGTGTCTCTGGCCTCAGCCCATCTGCAAGGGAGGACTGGCACTACACAGGGCAGGAGTCTCCAAGAATGGTGGTGGAGGGTCCTGTGTGCATGTATCTGTGTGTTAATAATAGAGCACTGCATCAAATCATTCCACATTGTGACTGATGAGCTGTCAGATTCCCTCTGCTGCTTCTCACTGTCAAGCATGTAGGCACATCATTTGCCAAATCCTAAATATGAAGAGCTTTTCCTTTCTTTTGCTGTCCCTCCTACCCTTAGCGACCAGAACTCGTGAGGGTGCATGAAACAATGGTAACTGCACATCCTGATGTTTGTTATCCTAAGCGCTACTGGCACAGGGCGCCAGAGAACCAAGTCTAGGATTGCTGACTGGGTGGAGTAAGGTGGCAATTACCTGAGTTACCTCATTTGTCTTCCCTAAGCATGGGATCAAACCAATGTATTACACTGGAAGCCTGAATTTATTTGGGGCTTTCTTAATCTGGTGTGTGAGGTGGATCTGTTGTTCATCCTGGGCTGTGGTAGTTAAGGGCTGCGTATGGTGTGGCCTGCAAGGTGCTTCACAAGTATTTTAGTTCCTGATTTAGCAATGGCAAAGCAGCGTGCAACTTGTGCAGACAGAAACTTGGGCTCTTAAAAATGAGGCGAGCGAGCAAAGAATGCCAGGTGATAAATCCTGTTTTATGCCCTATATTCCTGCTTAGTCAGGTAGCAAAGGAAGAACTAGAGAATTGTGATGTGCCGATGTCTTAAAGTCTACCAGTGTGGTTTTGGGGTGGTTTTTATGTTTTTTAAATCAGGATTCAGGCCTAAAACAGTGTTAGCTTTTCCTTTGAGAAAGTTCTTCTGTTCCCCTCACTTCGTGGAGAATGAAGAGGCTTTTTGTTGTTGCAGTACAGTGAAAAAATATATGCTTTTGACTCGTGAATTAGCCTGGGCTCCTTTGAGTTCAAGAAATAGAGAACCTAAACTGCACTGTGTTTCATCAACCCTTGGTGCTGCAAATCCAAAAACTTCTCTGCATGTGAGCTGGGGAGAGTGAGTTTTGCGGTGCAAGCTTGTTTGGTTTTGTTTCTTTTGTCAGGTCTCTCATATGGGGGGAAGGGAAAGCCTGAAGTAATGTTTCACTGTCCTCTGAAAGCTGTATCGCACAGGCAGGCACAAGACTATTTCTCAGCTCTGATCCTTACTATCCTTCACCCTTTTCCTTCTTCAAAAACATTGTTTCTGAACTGATTACTTCTTGATAGCTATAGCAAGTCAAGAAAAACAAGTGCCCAGACTTGAAGTTTTTAGATATATTGCCCTTGAAGTTGTATGCTTCTGATTAACAGCAAATGGTCACTACAATCTAAATGCAAAGTAAATCAAGTAAGAGAACTGGACACAGGTGCTTAATCACCTACCCACATCATGCCAGCAATTCAATACTAACAGTCCTATCAGATAATCATTTCCAAAGACATCTTGGCTTGGATTCCAGGGAAGGGGATGTGATCCCTTCTGTATATGGCAGGATTGCAGTCAGATCCCTCTCAGAATGACCTCTGTTGCTGGCTGTGCTTGCCCCTGCAGATGTGGTGTGAGAAGGCAACTGGTTAACGTGTTGAGGCAGTCAGTGTTTAAGTGAAGTGTAAGGACACAAGAGCGATAGTCTGATTATTTATGCTTTAGACAACATCACATTTCCATTCTTCTCATGCCAATGACTTTTTTTTTCTTGCACTGTTTAAACAGAACTGGAGCTTTGGAACATTGTATAGGTTTGAGTATTGTGTTTATGTGTCTATATAAAATATTTATATGAGAAGGCGTATGATATGTTTCTGTTAAAAACTGGTTGCCAAAATGAACCATGTCATCTCTTTGGTGTTTCCTTTTTTAAAAAAACAAACAAACAAAAAACCAACAACAAAACAAAAAAACCCACCACACCAAAACCAAAAACCACCCCAACCAACCCAAACCAATCAAACCCACAAGGCATGGGATGGAATGGAGGCTTAAGAAAGCAAAAGAAGTTTCCCAAGATGACAGGACTGTTGCACGAATTCAGAGCCCATGCAAGGCAATGCATGTTCCCTTTTTCTATGGGGTATAACATGCACAGGCTGTGCTGGTACAACCTAAATCAGCTTTACTTAAAAGGAAAAAAACACACAGTGCTGGGGAACCTTGTCTTTTTCACAGCTTCCTCTGCCTGCTTGCTGTGTGTGAAGACTGGTGGAAATTGAATCTCCGTACCAGCTGGTGCAATACCTGCCTGTAGGACAGTGGGGTTTTGAGCACTCTGGGGAGAGACCATTTCTAATCTCCTGCCAACCAGGTCTTCACTACTCAGTCAGTCTGATCTCTGTACGGGACCAGAAATTGTGCCTGGGGCAGAATTCTCCGCTGCCAGGCATAGCGCAAGGTGATGCTGGAGTGCTGGGGTCTCCCCTTGCTGTCACAGCGTGGTCCTGGGATTTGGGCCGAGGGCAGGTTGTGCGAAGCACAACAGTGATACTGTTCATACCGAGGTGTATGTCTTCCAGATGTGAAGATCCCAAACCTCTTCTCTTTTTAGATGTTGCCTCAATGATGTATTCTTACATAGAGCAATTTTCACGAAGAATTATCTATGTGTAACAGACTTGCCAGACAGTCTTGGTGTGCAGCGTTGTGCCAGCTGGGCCTGAACTGCATGTGCAGTTACCTGATAACCAAAATTAGGCTGGCGATAGTGCCTGCTCTTAAACACAGTGTTCCGTAGAGCTCTCCTGCTGCCTTGGAGAACCTCCTCCAGTCTAGAGCGTGCTTTCCCTTTCACCTAAAAAACAGGCAAATGCTTTTCTTGCTTTTTTATTTTTAATGTATTATGTGCCGTGCATGATCATTGACACCAGTACTGAGCAGAAAATACTCCTTATCTCACACACATGTATCCGTGTACTTCTGCAAAACCAATGTGGAGCTCTTGAATATGCTTATCCCTTCTAGCACTGCTTCTGGTTTCAAAGCATCAAGCTGATTTCCCACATTGCACCATTTCTTAATTTCCAATTTTATCACTACAACGTGCTTTGGGACATTTTATCATAATGCATTAAGGAATTTCAGTAAAAAAGTCAAAAAAACAGTAAGAGGTTTAAAATGAGACCTCCACAGCTTTTGTGACAGATGTTAGGCAATTCTAGCTTTGCAGAACTAGAAATAAGAAGGGAAGAATTGATAATAAGAACAAATAAGGGTAGAACTAGAAATAAGATTTGCCGAAGTGTGTTTCCCCGCAAAATGAAAGAAATCATAACAAAGCTTTGAAACACAAGCCAAGATGGTATTTACAAAGAAGCATTGTGCAGCTATTGTGCAGCTTCACTGGAGGTGGGT